CAGTATGAAAAAAAAAAAAAAAAAATAATGATGTTTATCCTTTGGTTGATAGAGTCTTGTTCTGCACGGCCCAGCCGGCGCACGTGATAACGATAGCCGCGGTGCTCTGCGTCACGTCGGCCCTCGTCCCGAGTGGCTCCGAGAGGACGACGAGCCAAGCCGCCGGCCAGCCCCGCTCGCAGCTCACGTCCTTTGTTTACCTGGCCTCCTTCGTCGTGCACTTTGGCTCCCAGATCTGGATGACCTTTGTCTCCGGTAAGCACTTTTTTTTTTTTTTTTTTTTTTTTTTTTTTTTTTTTTTTTTTCCCAAGGTGATTCTTATCACCGAAAAAGAAATTTCTCATTGCGTGAAAGGAGCTCTAAGAGAGTTTAGTAAGTACACATGATTGATCGAAAAAATCGTGGTCGTCCTTATTTGTACACAAATTCACAAACTATTTTTATGCCCTTTTAACACTTCAATCACGCTCTGCTCTAAAAAGCTACTTATAAATATGAAGAAAAAGAAAAAAAAAATTGTGTACAAACAAATTGGTTTTGATTTTTTTTTTTTTGCGGAATCGCTAAATATTCACCTTATAGTATAGATGTATAGGTACACCGCGCAACACACAAACTTTGTGTGGTTGTACGTACACTAGATAATATACATATACGAGTAAAAGCGCCAAAGGCTGCCTTAGAAAGTAACGGAGAACCTCTCGTGCGAATGAAAAAAAAATAACATCACGATAATCCCCGGGTTATTTCCTTTCTATCTCTCCCTCTTTTTTCCGCAATCGCCCTCTCGCTCTACGTACTATTTTATAGGTGGTACACATGCATTGGTATGTATATAGGCCCATAAAGACGCAGCTCGATAGCTTAAAGCTGATGCGAACGAACCAACAGCTAAAATGTTTATTTAAAAACTACTTATGCGTGAACGTACGTGTTATATACTCATCCTATTTTGCGACCGCTCTTATGAAGAAAAAAAAAAAAAACAAAAAAAAAAAATTTTTTTTTATATGTATCCAGATGCAGATGATAATAAACAACAATGATTTGTTTCAGCTCCCTACGAGGGAGGAATATGGAAGGTGCGCGTTCACCTGCCAGAACACTATCCCTTCAAATCGCCTTCCATAGGCTTTATGAACAAGGTCTACCATCCGAACATCGATGAGGTTTCGGGCACGGTATGCCTTGACGTAATAAATCAGGCCTGGACAGCCTTGTATGGTAAGAACATACGACTTGTGCTACTTTTAAAAAGTAAAGCTGGGAACAAATGGCCATTACTGGGATATCGACAATCATTGGATGTACACTATACGACCCAGCTACCGCCATTTCGTGTGTAAGCGATTCGCGTCATCTGTTCCCAACTGTACCCCGTACACTTCACTATTTTTCGGAAAACTTAATTTTTCCGATTTTTTCGACATTTGATGTTGTTATTTTTATTTACAGATCTCTCAAATATCTTCGAGTCCTTCCTTCCCCAACTTCTGACGTATCCGAATCCGATTGATCCGTTAAATGGCGACGCAGCCGCGATGTATCTCCACAAACCGGAAGAGTACAAGAAAAAAGTAGCAGGTGTGTCATCGTCGTCGACCCTTTGATTGACCAACGAATTTGTTATTTTTGAGAGGGATTCATATTATTATTTTGTCGGCAGATTACGTAAGGAAATACGCGACAGAAGAGGCACTGAGGGACCAAGAAAACGGGGGAACGGGCAATGGAATGTCATCGGACAGCGAGTCTTCGATGAGCGATTTTAGTGAAGACGAGGCACAAGACATGGAACTGTAAATAAAATTAATTATCGCCAAAGTCATTGTCCATGATGACGACGACGATCACGACGACGGCGGTGATGACGCCGTCGTTGCCGCCGCTACTCGACGCAGCCATAAAAATGAAAAAAATTTGAGAAACGACAGCGAAGCAAGTCATCTTACCTTTATCAGTCACACGATTTCTCGTAAAGCTCCCGATACTACATCGCTCGTCTTACCAAATAGGACTCGTTGTGCACTTAATCTCTTCGATGTTTGATGCGTTGCGCTTGCTTTGCGAAGTGGGCTCTAATTGATCAATAGCGCGAGAAAGCCCAAGGATCTGTAAGAAGATTGTCGAGTTGATCAATGTTCTGTTTTCACCCTAAACATTCAAAACACGCTTGCACGCGTTTTTTAACAGATTATGAAAATCGTTACGATTAGATTCGAAACAATGGTGATTCGAGTCATTTGCTAAAAGCTGCGTGAATTCCAAGGATGTTTTAAATAAGGAAGAAGAAAATAAAACGGCTGGAAATATATTTCAAGTAACTGCATTGCAATGTGCTCTACACAACTCATCCACCGTAAAAAAAGGAAGTGTTGGAATTCAGTTTTTGTAGGAGAAAGAAAATATTTATCAATATTTTTCTAACGATCATTTGTGCGACTCGTTAGCATTACATCAGACAATTGCTCCAAAAAGGGACAAATAATTTCTTCAATGATTGTGTTGATGTTAGGAGTTTAATTGATTTTTAACGAAATAAAAATTTAATATTTGTTAATATAAGCTTCATGTTTTTTCAAATAATGGGTAGAAACTTTAAAAATTATATCAAATTCAAAAATTAGCGATCTATTGTATCTAACAACAAAATATACTATTTATATAAAACTTGAAAAAATACACTTTTATTTTACAATATTATATTTAATTTCCTAAGAATTTTTGCCACAACATTGTCCCAGCTCAATAATTTCCGGCTTTTTGTCATTCTCTCCCTAAGGTGCCATTTAACTGTTCTACTCAGTGTTCCGACTTTCAATAAACATTTGCTATGAGCATACAACTGGCTCATCAGATACTCGTGAATGTAATCCAACTGCAAAATCGGCAATCAAAAATAAAGATTGTGTAAAAACTACATATACTGTATGGACATATACCTATAGATTTTCTAGATGCTGAATGCTGATAGCTGATTGGATAATTCATAGCACTATAAGTAGCAGTGTCCGCACGTCCAGCAATCATATCTAGATAGCTGCTGTTACTGCTCAGGAGCGTCATCACAATGGAAAACAAGGATAAGTTGACAGTTTTGGTCACTGGGTTTGGACCATTTGGACCTTACGAAACAAATCCTAGTTGGGAGGCTGTCAAGCTACTTCCAGATTTCTTTAAAACAACAAAAGAATCATCAAATGTGAATTTAGTTGTTGTTGAAGTGCCTGTTTCTTACGATCATGTAACATCTAAAATAAAAGAACTCTATAAAACATATACCCCTTCGGTAAGTATATATTATTTCAAAATAAATTACAAATTAAACGGCAGCTGATTTTTAAAAATATACATTAACCTATGGTCGTACGGAAATATCCATTAGTGTTATTTGTTTATGAAAAGGAGTCATTGAATAAAAGTAATCACTGAAAATATTAAGGAAAATTTTATTTGTAGATAATATTGAACGTAGGTGTTTCTGCTGCTGCTACTTGTTTGACTATTGAAAAACATGCATGCAGCAAAGGTTACTTTAAGCCAGATGTATTCAACCAATGCCCTAAAGAATATGATGTTGATCACGTGGTGTTAAAGAGTAATTGTGAAACACAAGAAGTTTGTAAGATCATAAACGAATGTTCCGACGAGATCAATTGTAAGGCTAAAATATCAAATGATGCGGGAAGGTACTTGTGCGAGTACATATATTATCAATCTCTTGCCCTAGGGGCTCCTCAAGTTTTATTTGTTCATGTACCTGAAGAACGCGTTTACACTAGTGAACAAACCGCTCAAGGACTTTTAAAAATTATTTTGTACTTGATAGAATGTGTGACGAATGCAGTAAAAAAATGATACAATTATTTTTCAATAAAAATGTATATTTTTCTATGCGACTGTATTTACAAATTTTTTTTCGAATCAAGAACTTATAATTTCTTAGTGCATGAAAATATTTATTCATTAGGTGAAAACTTTGTCCTAAATGGTGTTATGTTGTTTTTAAGTTCACGAGAAAATGGTTTTCTCAACATTTCAGCGCAATGTCTCATTTGAATTGCACAGTCGGCATTCAAATTTGATGGTAGCATCGTACATTCTCTGTCAAAAATAAGCGCTAAACCGTCTAATAATTCAATAAAGCCTAATGACAAAGCTGCTCGACGAAGTCTGTTGAGTTCCTACAAACACAAAAATTATTCTAATTAAACGAAAAAAAAGTGCAATAAAATTTATGTTTTATCATAAAGTTACTTACTTTGTAAAAGTTTTGTGTTTTTTCCGGCAGTTTTTTCGCGTGCCTTAGTATCTTCTGTATATCAGATTGTAGACCAACTTGCCTGATCCAAGATGGTGCGTTTTGTGAATAACTTCTTTTTTCAGATGGCCTGATCGGAAAACTACAAACTTCAGCATTTTTATTGTAAATAATATAATCAATAGGGCCGAGGTTTCGGAAATTGCTCAGCCAAGGGACAACATCTGCACCATGCTCGAGAACAGTGAGCATAAGGTTTGACTTTTTTTTTGTATCAGCTCGTGAGTAAATAAAGCCATACCAGTCCGTGTTTAACAAGCATAGAGCTGCCATATTTTCAACCTGGTGGATAACTCTGATTAAGTACGTGCCTACGTTTGAATATGAAAAAAATTTAACAGTATACCTTTAAAGCACCATGTAACAAGACACAAAAGGATGGTATTTTGTCTTCATCTGTAATATCTTCGATATCAGAGTCTTCTTCCATTGAAATACCTTGCATGCTTGATGTTTTATCAGTTAGCATTGGCAAAACTAAATGTCTTGATATGGCAGTTGGACTGCCAACATCTGCCACAGGTATAAAACCACGTATTTCTATAGTCCTAGATATAGTCAAGCCAGTCAGTAATTCAAAATCTGCTTTTTTGGTGTATGGCTGCAATAAAACAAAATACACACTTGTAAAAAGTATGAAAGAACATTCATAAACGTTGTAACATTATTTACAATTGGTGGTGGAAATACTATGATTCTTGAACCAAGATGACCACATTTTAAATATCCTTGAAATGGTACGTAATTTGTTTCAGTCAACTTTTTAAAGCAGTTTGTAACTGTTGATATCGATAGTTGACCTTCAGGCACTACAAGCATGCTGTCATTGCCAGCCAAATCAACCAGCTTTTGGTACAGAGGCAAAGAATTCATCAAATCTAAATTAAACAAATTATTTACAATACTTTGTCCAAAAAGTGTTGATAGAATAATTTGATGTTACAGTAAATCTAAATGAATCACCTGTTTGATTAGATATACAAACTACAGTAAGTTTTCCAGGAAACACAAATGGTAGTGAAAATCCAGTGTCTCTTAGAAAACTGGAAGAATTTAAAGAATCGTTCAAGGACATAAGTCCTACTCCAGGATTGCCATCAGTTATTAAAATGACTTGACAAGGTGTGGCACTTCCCCATTCAGAAATCACGATACTATTAATATAATGTAATACAGTTTTTAAACAAGTTCTATCACACTCTTCTATGCTTTGTAATTTTAATCTTATTGATTCATAGTCTCTTGTAAATGGACATACAACTTCATAAAATGAAGAAAACGCAATCTGTAAAGACATAAAGATAAAAAAAAAAACTTAGAAACACTAATAATCATTTATCTTAAACGATTTAACAAAATTACCAATGAAACAAACTCAAGTTTTGAGTGGTTTTGTAAATGATGTAAGATGGTATTTATTCCATGAACAGCCAGCTGATGCCTTGTTAACTGTTCATTTGGCACATTTTCATTTACACTTGCTCCAACGACTAATCTTCTCATTGACAAAGATACATCCAAAGCTATGACGGTCGGCATTTTCCAACTTGTATTTTTCGTATATTTTTCGATACCGACAACAATCGCAAAGGTTAGGGACTTGACAGATAACTTTACATTACAAGACTTTACAATCCACGATTTTTACAGAACTTACAGAGTAGCTTGTTTGTTTTCATAAATAAAAAAATTTCTTGCAGGAACTTACATGCAGATATCAACAATGTTTTGTTAAAGTTTTCACTTTGCTGCATCAGTAAGCAACTAACCACAACACCACAAGCCGAGTGTCAAACTGACCGACCGATGAATGACGAGGGAATAGGGGAGGGGGGACTCTGATGAAAAGAAAGTATTTAAGCGGCTTGTTCTATACTTTACTTGTTCTTTCGTATTTACGTGCAACGATTCATATCTTGGTTCATTGGTGAACCAAGTTGAATAAAAATAAAAACTGATTACTTTGTTGGTGAATGAATAAAAGTTTTATGATGAATTTCAAGACAAAAATAAACTTTGAACTTTTATCCAAATCCCCACTTAAACATACAGTGATCCGTCAGCAGGTCCCAAATATCTCATTGATATCAGCATGACATCAATTAAAGTCCACACTCCAAGTCCTCCAAAACTAAATAGTTTGCCAATGCCTTCTTGCCAGTGACCCAAATAAAATCTGGTAATTATTTGTCATTAGGTTCAATTTCCATCATAATTTTTCTTTTTAATTCTAGAGTTTACAAACTATCAAGTTAAACAACATACCGATCTGCTCCAAACCCTCCCAGAGTTATGCTTAGAATGAGGGCAGTAGACCACCTGTAACCACCAGTCCAATTACAAGGTAGATTTTTCCAAAACGTTCTTCTTCCCAAGCATAATATGTCATTTTTAACTGTACAGTTGGTTCTAGATATTTTTTGTATTTATTAGTAAAAAAAAAAAAATAATTGAATGAATAACTTTTTAGAATGTAAATTAAAAGTTTACCGATAATATTGCTGTGGAGATGCAAAGGAACTACAAGAGTTTTTCAGATAGCAGTCATGCTCCCAATGTTCAGTTTGATAACAATACCGACAGATATACTGCTTTTTAAATTTTATTTCGCCCTGTTGGATCGATTTACGTATACAAAAACTTTACACGTTTGATGTAAAATAATGCCTAAGTTGTACTGACCTTACAATCGACTTGATCTATCACAGAACACTGTGCTTCGTACACAGAACCATAAACGCAGTTAAAATCTAATGTACAATTCAAACATTCAACACTTAGTTCTGAGCATTGAGTTCCGGCAGGACACAAACCAAACAGCTCTATCTGAAAATTTTAACTTGAGTTTAATCATCTTTCGAAAAAATCAAGTAGTTTCAAGAATAAAACTCGTGTTCAAAACATTTCTCACCTTTTTACTTCCATAAGTAGGAGTTGAATTAATATTTATGGCATGATTTGATATACTGTCTGGAATGACAAAATACACATCTAATACTCAATTTTTTCCTTATCATCCAATAAAGATACTCTAATATATAAATTTTAAAAAAATGAAGTGTTGTTTACTTGCCTCCGTAACCCATATAAGCTTCCCTTACTGATGTTAACAAAATAGCTAAAATAATGTAAGCTACATTTCTCACATTGATTCGAACGACAAGCATACCGAACTGGAATTTTTGATTCTACGAGATGAAAGTAAAAATAATCTCGGGTTATAAATTTAATCAAATCAATCGTGTGTCACCATTGTATCGTTTCCATCACAAATCAAAACATTAGAAACGCTATATATATGCATGTGTGGTGTTTTTGTGATGTGATTGATAGGTAAGGTTAGTTGATTAATAAGAAAGAGTCCTACTCTGCCGACAAACTTTTTCTATGTAAATTTTTTACTGGAAAAAAAAAGAATTTTTAACAATAAATAAATTTTAAAAATATTTCCACAACGAATTCATATTTGTTACCAGACGGTAGGAGTGAAATTTTTTATATTATACAATTTGTTTCTAGTGCAAAACTAAAATTTTGTTGTTAGTATTTAAAATTAATGCATGCACAATGTTAGAAAAATGAAAAAATAGATTTGATTTTTTTTTTAATTGTCTACAGTTACTTCTGCTTTTATTTTTTTATAACTCTCTTGTTGAGCATATTTTACTTCATCAAAACTATTTATTCTTTTATTAAAACTTAACTTTTCATCATTTATTTCCTTTAGCCTTTGACGTTTTCCAGCATTTTCTTTTTTCTAAAGATTTGATGGTGTTCAAGTACTTTATTACTTTGAATTCATTATCATCCAGATCAAGATTTTATTTGTACTTTTCTTTCTCCAGCTCAACAAGGCACAAGTTGATTTCTTCAACGGTTTCACATTTTTTGGACAAAATTTCATCTGTTGTGCTTGGTTCAGGAGTAATAATGTCATTATTTTTAATTTTATCAAGAAAACGTATAAACTTGGTCTCTGTGAGAGTTAAATTTGAACTTGGTTTCAATGACAAACTGCCTAGCCATCTCCTCAGAAACTAAAAGTAAAATTCTTTAAATGCTTACTGAATTAAGTTTCTTGAGACTGTTGCTGCTACAATAACATAGTTGAAAAAAAAGACTACTTCTTTTACTTACACTTTTCCATTTGTCTACTGACTTTTCTGGCTTTTGATTATTTAATTTCACTACCAACGTGTCCCATAACTTTTGCTAGAAAAAAATAGTCTCGTATATAAATATCATCATGTGAAAATTCAAAAAGCTCTTTTTTCACAATACTCACTACATTGTCACTAGTTGTATTATGTGATATTATTGCAGGATTTTCCGTTATGAAGTTAACGAATGTGTTTTTCCGCCCTCGGGTGGTTTTGGGAGGCTGGTACTTCCTCGGGCGAAAAAGCAGTTTTCCGGAACTCGTTCGAAAAGTCTCCTTTACGAACCTCGTTACGGACCTCGCCTTCGGCTCGGGCCGCAAACCTCTCGGTTCGCAAACAGAGACTTTTCAAACTCGTAGGAAAACTACCATTTTTCTGCTCAGTAGAAACATGCCTGAATGATACAGTACAAAATATAAATTATGCATTATTAAGTTTTACATGCCACTACTACTATTCCAGACATGATAATACTAGTCTTTTCAAAAAATTAAAAAATGTCACCATTAAGTACTTATGATCTCACAATCTTGGTAGATCTTGGCGTTTTTGAACTTTTTGACTCACCATATAGATTGGTAACGGACGATTGACCGCAGCTCATGTTGACTTTAATTCACTATACTTAAGATTTTCTCCACTCTCTAAAATGAGTGAGAATATGTCTATACGAAATCAGTGGTGATTTAAATGGACGCGCTTTAAAAAATAAACACTCTCACCTTAATACTTATTATACCTACAGTATGAATTTATATAATTTTGACCGAAATTGTAATTGTAATAATTATAGAAATTGTAAATCACCGAGTAGGTAAGTAGTGACGTTATTCTGTTCTGGAATCTCCCGATTACTTACTCTCACCATCTATTCAGCTCGAAACAACACTTTTTTTCACCACTCTCTCACGCAATAGTTATTCTAATATATTACATTTCTCCCTCACGCATACCAGTATGGATTAACTTAGTGGTAGGTATATATACTTGAGTGAGCAACTAAATAATTTTTTTTGCGAACAGTTTTTGTTTTATCCCGAAAACCCAACACACAATTACGCACTCTATCAATTAAGTGTAAAAAGTACTATGGCCTATCGCCTATGGCCGCTGCGGCCGGCTCTTCTTCACTTCTCTACTTCTCCTGATGCACTCTACACACACCCTCCTTTTCACACTAGTCTCGTTTCTCTTTTGTTTTCTATAACCTAACTTTATAAGTATACATATTCATACTGGCACACACATGTAACTGTAGACCTTTAAATAATAATTTTCATAAACTTGAGTGATATTTTAAAACTAAGTAAGCGCTGACAGTTTGAGGCGAGAGCCGAAGAAGTCCGACCAATCATTTGTCTTTGAAAAAATGCGTCGCGAGTAGTGAAACCTAAAATATGTATTGTTTACAATTTGAATTAAATACGTATCTATGGAACAAGATGCCAAGTCGGCCTCATAACCTATATGTGTACATAGTACTTTACAACAACAACACAGAGAGTAATATGAGAAAATGTACACCTTTTTATCTCCAAGATCTAAGAAATCTCTGTCCAAAGTTCGTTATTGTGGAGTGATAAGGTAAATTGTAGGTGCAGAAAAATCTTAGCATACGTTTCTGTCGTTTATCAAAACATACATGTTCTCCTGATTTTTGTTTTTATTTTATTCAATTTTTTTTTTTTTGTTTGACATAAAAGTACATCAACTCAATAAACAAAAATAAAATTTCCTGACAAATAATATACACTTTAATCATAAATGTGCAGTTATACAGTCAGTTATAAAAATGGACGGAGTGAACTCGTGTTTTATTTCATGGCCGTATACAATGGAATTTTCGGAAACGCAGCCAACGCAGGTAAAAATTTGGAATTTTCATAGTAATACATTTTTATCTAAATTTTTCTTAACATAAATGCTGTGTCGATTAAAGTTCATGAGATTTCCTTATTGAAAAATTACATTTAAAAAGTACGCAATTTGTCTTTGACAATTTGAATTTAAAATTATTAAAGCGTATAATATCTTCTCCTAACTAATTAAACTTGTGCCTCCTACACGCACAAGCCAAGTAAATGACACGAAAGTTACCATTTATGCAAATAATAAAAATTAAATTTTAATTAGCATAAAAAAATCTTGATAATGCCAATTATTCATACATAACGATGGCTGGGTAAGAGAAACATTTTTTTTCAATACTTTTTAGTACGTGTCAGTACTTGTATTTTATTGACGAGTGCAAACAAAGCTTTCATTGTCATCAGTAAGTTCTAATTTGAGAACAAAAATCTATGAATTACCTACTTCTCAAATCCAAGTCTGAAAAAGGTATTTCGTTTACCCTACCGTCGATATGTAATTGTAATTTTATTAGGAACTTGGAAGTCTAACATTTTTTCAATTTCCACCACACAAGATAAAAAATATTGATGAAATAAAAACAAAATACACGCAAAAACCATTACTGAGAATAACTTTAAAATACTATTGTTTAATGGTGATTTATACAGTTAAAATATATTGGAAATAATGAAATGGAGTTTGTAGCACGGTATTTCATTCGTGTTTCTGTTGCTACGAAATTTTTTTTCTTTTTTTTTTTTTACTTTTCAAACTTTATATTTTAATCGAAAGCAGACAAAATTTGATATAAGTTTAAACTTGCATGCATACATATAGTATGTTAAAACACGTGCTTGTTAAATCTAAAATGTGTCGGTCAGAAATGCATTCGGTATGTAAAAGAACGTCCCTATGTCGATACAAACATGGAAACCAAAAATCAAAAAAGAACAGTAAATCACCGTATATACGCTCCAAAATGGTTAAAAACCTGTGTTTGAAACACTAATCGAACACTGCGTAGCCCCGTTTATCTCTCTGAAAAAACGGGAGGAGAAAAATGGCCCCAGAGATAGCACTATCAACTACCCTCGTGCTTCGTACCTGTGGCCGAGAAACCCTTTGTATTTTTCGGTCGATTAGAACGTATACACGGGAATATAAATGAAAAGGTAAACTTATATGAACTAACAGCTATTAATCACAAAGACATAAATACAGATAGAAACATACAACAATAACGATGTTTTGCATACCCTCAAAACCAGATT